GATACATACAATTACAGGAACCCAGAGGAAAACTGGGTTGGACTCCACTTTGTCTGTCTTTCCTGGACAAAACCCTGTTTATCTGCTCCCTAGGGAGTGCTTTCACACCATGGACTCCTTCCTCCTTTCTTTAACATTTCACTTTCCAGAAAATTCTTCACTAAGATCCTGTCCTCTTTTCCCAAATGATGACCAAGTGAGAAATGACCATTAAGGAATTCGGTGTGGTGGGTAGGCAAGTTCACATTTAATGAGACTCTTAGAGTCCTGTATTGTAGGACTATAACAAAATAATTTGTAAAGGGAACATTTCAGGTAGGGTCACTGTACAAATGAGAAAGTCTGGAGTCTCTGGTTCCAACGGTCTGTTTGAGACATAATCAGAAGACTTGGATGATTAAATTGGAGATACAATTCTCAGATTAGTGGTTTAGCTCATTAGTGAAGGCTATAGTTGATTCAGTTTCAAATGAATGAAATATGCAATGATTACATTGCCAAAGATAGAACAGAACCATGATGCATGGCTATCTACATATGGCTTTGTGGATGATTACATGTCTACCATTTCCACGTTGTTCCCCTTGAAGGTGTTCATTACTTAAGTAGGTCACATTTTGATATTTCTGGGGACAGTTCTTCTCCATATTCTGTTTCCTCCCTATTTTATTGTATTGTTGATTCAGGAGGCTACTATGGGTGGGTTGGGCAGGGGGAGAGAGAGGTGTGTGCACGCCAGGGATAATTATCTTTGGATAATTCAGCATCTGTGCAGGTTAACCTGGCTACCCCTTGTCTAGAACAAATGGGGTGCCCAGGAAAGTAAGTCTGGGGGACAGGTAGTTCTGCGAAGGAGATACCAAGTACCTGAAATGCACACCCTCTAACTGAGCTATCAGCACTGTGTGGTCAACTGGCTTTTCTTTCAAGCTCTGAATTATAGAACAAGGTTTTGGAACCTGTGGGTGTTCTAAAAGTACTAATTTGCTCTTGGCTTTTCATCTAGTTTTGCAGACTTTTCCAGTTCTACCTTTAGTTTCTGCTTACTTCATTCTGAGTAAATAGGAAGTTGGCAGTATCTATGGAATGCAATTTGTGTAATTAAATTCACTCTTCAAAAAATGACAGTGCTTGAAATGGCTGACTTGCTTCCTCAGTTTGCAACTTATAAAATAGGAAGGCTCAAGGGTCTTAGAATAGTGTTGTCACAGAGTTCTCTGTGCATTTTACTCAGAGATCCTCACTTAAGCATCTCTGTGCTGTGGGCTCTCTAACTTCTCTGCTAGATTATCCTGATGGTTTTCTTGCAGTCTCCAAACCTGTTGCTCTCACCATGTCATACTCTTCAGTGATGGAGCAGAACTCCAGCCCTGGTTTGCCTGGCTCTAGGGAAAAATTATAATTGCTCTCGTTTACCTTGATGAAAATGCTAATTATCTACTTGAGAGAAGCTGGTGAAACCAGATAGAACCACAGACGTCTTACTGTCCAAGACTCTCACTTTACAAATGAGTAACCTAAAGGCCTAAAACATGAGACGTGATCACTATAACACACTCAAGTGTTGTCACAGACTAGCAAGAATGAGTTTTCTTGGCTTTCAGGTGCATACACCCATCAGTTATTGACTCCATAAACATCAACTCTTTCTACATTTAAGGCATTATGTTGAGCCCTAAATATCTTACTGTACCCTCTCTGGGTACTCCTTTTGTGAGTTTAATGAGTCCATCAAGCTGTTTTAAATTGAGACTTGAGTTACCCCTGCCTCCTCTAAGTGTGGCTTTGTGCAGAAGAGTCACATATGACTGATGGTCCCAACATGAAACCCTTGTCAATGCCCTGATCCATACTCAGAATAAACAGTTCCACAGGAAAGGGAGTGTTGGAGACTGGAAGGGAATGTTGTTTATTACAAGGTATGTATAAAGTGCAGTAAAGTCCTGTTTATGAAGATGATTTGATGTTATTCAAGTAACTGTTTTAAGATCACTCATCAGAATGCAGGAAGCTTAACTCCTAGTTTTGCCAACCATGTTTAAGCCAATTGCAAAAAACGTTGTTCCACCAACCCTGTCCTCTTTGGTGTTTCCCATGCTGACGGTACTACTTGGCTTTATTACTCATTTTATAGGTAGGTTTCTCTGAGGACCTTTGGAGATACCCAAAAAATCCTCTTAAGTGAATTGACAGAACTTGGGTTCACAATAAGTGTGAGAACCTGGAAAGGAAACACAATCATCCCTGAAGAGTTAAACTGTATTCCATCAGCCCATACAGTCGAGAGTAAAGGTGTGCATGTGCCCTGGAGAAGGAAGGTGGCAGGCAGCAGCATTTGTGATATTTGTCACTTTGCTACCCAAACAAGGGTGAACTGGCCAGACTATGATCACATGGGAAAGTCTTTAGAAATGTCTAGCACAGGAACTAGCTGGTATGCAGACCCCTGGTGTCTGTGATATTTTGACGCAGCCCTGAAGGTAAAAGAACCAGTGTAAAGGGAAGGGTCCTGACTCTTGGGTTGTGAGGCTTCTACTCTTCATAGTTGGGAGATGCCGTAGAGCTTAGTCTGCCCCAGGCGAACCAGTCTCCATTCCCAATTTTTCCCACCTTAGTAACAGAAATTCTTGAGAGATAAGGCCAAGAAAGAGGCTCTTGCTACCACTGAATGCCACTACCTGAAAGAATAATCAGGATTCCCACCAATGTGCCCCACAAGCCAGTCCCTGTTACTGGGCGATGTCAACAATCAAACACAGAAATAGCTGTTCTCAGGTTGGTGTAACATAGCAGTTGGTATGTATTATTCCAAGTGTCAAATTTACTTGTTCCTCCACAGAAAAGATGGGGAAATCTGCATTCCCCCTGCTGTATGGAGATGTTGGGTTATTTTACAATCAATCTTTAACTCTTTGATACTTTGAAACTGTTAATCAAATGCTGCTCAGCAAGGCACTTTACAGTTTTTATACTAAGCTTTTCCTGAGCTTAAAGGCCAGCTCACCATAACATCCACTTGGAAAACTGTTAATCAGTATATATTAAGTACATATTTACAATTTCTAGTGCTGTTCTTTCCTTCCTGTATTTCCGTGTGTGTGTGTGTGTGTGTGTGTGTGTTTAAATCACTTTCCTTCATCTGCAAGAGCTTAAGTTAGTATTCTAGTGCAAGCTGACTGGTAATTTTCTCTTAGTTTTTCTTCAAAAATGTCTATTTTTATTTTAGGAAATTTTCATATTTTGGCATTTTGAAGGATACTTTGAGCACAGAATTCTAGGTTGTCGATTACTTTCTTTCAACAGTTCACCAGGGCACATGCCCATGGTAAGTCCTCTTAACTTTACTATTGGCGTCTTTAACACAGTGAGTCTGTAAAAAATGTGAAATGTTTAAATTGTCTCTGCCATTTGTTTTATTCCAACAATAGCTATGATGAAAGCTCATTTTTTTTTTTAAATCTTTCATTATTCTATCAAAGGTTCCCAACACTTATCTTTTCTATCCTAGACATTTTCCTTTATGATTATCCTAGTCAGCTGCTGGTTTCCACTGATTATTCTCCAAAAGTTGCTCTATTCTGGCCTCTGCTGGTATGACAGCAGAAAACCATTTCATTCATTTTTTGCCTAATATGCTAAAGGACTCAAGGAAAAGGTAATTTATATTAGGTTTCTGAAGAACTTCCTAACAGAAGGCAATGGTGCAACAAAGATTTTTGAGACATCTCTTAGGCTGCTAGGCTTGCTGAGAATAGCTGAATGGTAAAATCTGAGTTGTATTTCAAATGCTTCTTCTAAAGTGGTGCAGTCTTTCAGATTTCTTTTTTAAAAGACCTAAGAATGTCCTCTAAACATTTTTAAAAATACGTATGCCAGATGCAATTTAAACTGAGTCACTAACGAGTCTACCAATAAGCAGCCTTTCCAGTTGGACTTTGGGAACATACTCCAAGAAAGGTGTTAGGAAAGACTATTCTGCTTCATCAGTTTGCCTTTTTTCTCATGTTGACATATTGTATTGGGGTATCCATGATTAAACCATTTCAACTGTTGCCTCTGACAATCTTAGGTTTCAAATGGCTTCAGCAAAATACCTACTTATCAAAGACAAGTGTGTCTTGATGTAATACTGGCAGGTGTGGAGTAAAGGAGAAAACATACAGACAGATAAACAAAATGCTACTGAAGACTGCGACACAGATGTGCTCAGTCATCTTACTCAGACAGTATGTCCTAGACAAAGCGGCTAAATAGAGAACTCTATTTTGTTGCCAAACTGCAAATTCATTAAGATGTTTATTTCTCAATCCTGAGAAACAAAACAACTGAACATAAAACATATGGGCAGCACTTAATAAATTTAGCTGGAAAAGTGTACCAGACAAAAAGTATGATAAAAAGAAACATGTGAAGAGCTGGAATATTATGAGACTGAAGGGCAATGTTGATTTAGTCTTTAAGATAGGGAGAAATGGTGATATTTGTGGGTCTCTTGAAAGGAAAGAAAAGCTTTCACTAAAGAGAACTTCATTTGAACAAAAGAAAGAATCTAGAAAGTCAAAACAACTATCAAATTTTAGCATTTTTTCTGAAGAATTAAACACCAGGCATTGGAATGACCTGCAGAACAGCAACTGATTAAGAGAACCAAAATGTATAATGATTAACACGTTTGCGGCTGAAATGTAAATACCCAGGGAAGATGGAGCAAAATGAAAAGCTCTCAGAGGCAACAAATCAGACAGCAATCACCGTATTTTCAAAATTGTAATTAGGTATTACCACATACAGTAAATAAACAACTCTTAAGTTAGAGTGCAAAATGAAAGCACCTTATTGTTTTAAAGGTGTGAAAGTAAGGAAATACAACATAAACATTATCCAACATAAACATTATCCACATTTTAAATAGTTGTTTTGTGGTGGACAAATATCATTTCTGAACATTTTCAACAGAAAAATGATTTATAAATCAGTTCAAAGAAGATCAAAAAACAATCAGTGTGTAATACCAACTTTAACTATAAATAACTAAAAAGAAAAAAAATGTCCCTTATTCTCTTTTTCTTGAACATCTATATCTTCTGCTTTTTGCCTTTTGGAGAAAACATTGCATTGTAAGGCTGCCGTCTTTTTGGGCGAGGACAAGGATCAAGATCTTCTTTAATATAACCTTAAAAACAAATCACAGATTCAATAGACCTTATTGGTAACATACACTTATTTCAGCACATAATCTGTACACATCTATCTTATTTAATGCCTTCTAGGTTTACAAGATTCTTCTGATTATCAGTTGTGTGATGCTGGTGAATGATTTCACTATTAGTAATGGTTTCCTCATTTGTACAAAAATAATGGCAGCAAACACTGATCAAATGACACATTATACCAGAACACTCCAATTCCTTTGAAGTAGCTTCCTTTATGCTATTTCACATCTGAGTAATGGAGACCCACGGAGGGCAGGCAACTCACCCATGTTCATGAAAAACTAGGAGAGGCAGAGTCTGGATGCTGAACAGATCTCTGAGCACTTTTCTATCCTACCTCCCATAGGCTGCAGATAGGGACAGGAGGTTAAAAACACAAACTCTTTGCTATCATGAAGAATTCCAGAAGCTTATCAAAAAGACTTTTTGCTGTGGCTATTCATTAGCTGACAGGACTATCTGATTCTCCAAAGGTGCGGCCAATCACATAGTCTTCAGGGGAGGACTGTGCTCTACCAAAATCCAGGTCACAGCAGGGAGGCAAATGTAGGTTCTCTCCAGATTATCTAATGCTATCTGACCACCAGGCAGAGACAGTAGGTCAAAGGGGTCTATTCTGGTTTGTTAATGGGAAAGTGGAAACAGAATAACAGATGTCAGAGATTTTTCAACTTTTGGACAAATGAACTGCTAAATACCTGGGGCCTTAAAGCTGCACACATTCTCAGACTATATTAGATATAAATACCACACATGAAGCAGCTATTTAGTATGCCAAGAATCTTCCAAACAAACAAGCAAAGGTTGTTTTCATTTAGATATGGTTTATAAATACCCAGCTTTTTGAAAAAGTGAGGTTTTTCAAATCTAAAATTCAGAGTAGTTTCCTTGAAACTCCTTTTAATAACTTTGCTGACAAGTTCTGTAAAGTTATTTTGATGACAAGATCAAAGTGAAGTTAGTTTTTGAAATCTGAGTACACCAGAATAATGCATACAAAATCATAAAAATGTTTATTACCAATCCCCACATGGTAGAATATGTACTCTCACCTCTCTCCATACAAGTTTGAGTAGAAGGAAAACCAACTTCCCAGAAATTCTCTGGAGTGCTGGGTGGGATGTGGCGAAATCGGTGTCTTGAGCAGGAAGCCAACTTTTTTTCTCTTTCTTCTCCTGGGATATCTGCATAATACTAATAATAAAAATTGGTTAAGTTTTTCACTAGGAGTAATAAATGGAATGTATGCTTACTAGTTGTAAACCAGAAGTTAAAGAAGCTACTTAGTGAAGTATTCGGCATGTTAAGAGAATAATACACATCGAGGCTATTAGTAATAGTGCTGGTATAGGAAATACTGGCTTCATAGATGAGAAGTGTGTCTATCATTGTGTAAATCAACATTCTCTTTCCTTTATCAATGAAATGTTGCAATGAAAAAAAGATGATGGCTTCACTTTACAGTGTGCTCGATTATGTAGCGGATTTACGTGTTGGTGCAAACCCTTCATATCTGTCAGACCAGCAACAAAACCGCAAAGGCCTGCACTGTTGCCTGATTTTTTCTCTATCGTTACCTGGACATAAGTGGTGCGTTTCCTATCTGTGTAGCCTTTTTTTTTTTTTTTAAAGTTTAGCTTTTAATATTGCAGATTTCATAACTACTCCCTTTCAACTGTGTTTTAAATATGGATCAAAGGCATATTAGTTTTTGCAACTGTGATCATGAACAGCCTGAATTTCATGCAAAGGACAAAACCTGTATGTAAAAACTGTACAGGTCTTCAAGCTCTAAGCTAAAGAAAACTAAGCAGTAGTGTAGTTTAACAGAACACAGTTAAGAATATATAATTCAGTCAATTCTATTTTATAGGTGACAAACTGAAAGTCAAATTGGTAATTTACCAAAGATATTGCCTAGTGAAATTGGCACACTTAGGACTAGAATGTAAGTTCAAAGAAAAGGATTTCACTACTCTTCTTTTATACAGATTAATTAAGGCTCTCGAATATCTCTCAAACAACTATTTTGAGTACCTTTTTCATCATTCTTGCTGTGAATTTGGGTGTCTGTACCTTAGCCATGTACTAGGATAGCCATTGAGAATCACAGTTATCAACCACTGTTAGCGAGGCAGCGCCAGATTAAAACATACTGGACAACAACAGTAGATTCGTGTAGCCTCAACACAGCAAGCAAGTGGGAGAGAGCGGGAAGGGAAGCCAGAGAGAAATGGGGCACAGCGTTTGTTGTCTTCGATAAGAACTCAGGTTCTGTGGTGAGCTGAGAAGATATTTAAGGTGCTGGGGAGAGAAGTGACATGATTTAACTTTTATTCTAAAAAAAAAATTAGAAAAAAACCATTCATTGCTGTGTTGAAGTGCACTGTACAGTGACAAGAATTAAAAATGAAGAATGGAGCTGGAGGTATATGGGAAGGTTGTGCTTTCTGCTCATTTTTGCTGTGCACATAAAACTGTTCTAAAAATAATTTTTTAATTAAAACACACACTGGCAGTGTTTGAATATGTGAGTGTGTAGGCACATGTGCATGTGTGTGCACCCACACCCACGCCCACACAGACAAGAGCATTTAGGAGCTATTCCAATAGTGATGTCTTGATCCAGCATGTTAGGGCAGTAACAAGTGCCTGGGATGTGTTTTGAAGACACAATCAATGCAATTTGCTGGCAAACTAGCTATAGGGTTATAGAGGAAAAGAGCACTGGAGGTTTGGTTTAAACAACTAAAAGCAAGGAGATACAGGAGACTTTGGGGACTGGAGGTAGAAACTGCATGTTTACTTTCAGACGTGTGACATCTAAGATGATTATCAGATTTTATATTCCACAACTGGCAAAGGCAGGTGGGATAATTTTAGGAATTGTGAGCATATAGGTAATATTTAAATACACCAGATGCACTTTCAGTCCTGGTCATAAGGGAATAATCAAGAGCAGATTTACCCTCCTAACCTTAAAGAACTAGAAAATTGGGATAAAATGTATGAAGTAATGGTTTTCAGAGACTGGATAACAAACAGCACAGGAAATGATTCCTGAGACAAGGAAAGCAAGTAAGAGTGTTTTTAATACAAGAGCTTTTTTTTCTGATAGAATTAGGTTCACAAGGTAAAGAGTTAGGGCTGTAACTCAAATTTACACTTACTTAGTGGATACATTGTCCTTAACTAAGAAATTATGGTCTAGTCAACTTGTATTATAAAAAGTCAAGATAACCACATTTATTGTCAAACTGCTTTCCCAAAAGTGATCTCAATTTATATTCCCACTGACAATATTATTTCTGACTATATAATACCTGCACTGCAATCAATTCACACATAACTTTAATGTGTTGATTATCAAATTTTTAGTCTGCAATTGTCTTAAAAGAACTATTAAAGGGACAGTAAATTGCTGGAGGCAGGCATCTGACAGCTAATGAACAGCAGGGAAGAAAAAAACCCCAGCGTGTTTCAAGAAAACATCCAACCTACATGGATCTATTTAATAATAGGGTGATCAGTGCTGTGCTCTGCACTTACAGGAGTGTGAGGTGCTCAATGAATAAATAAAACTGTAATTGTATTCTAAGGATGAAGTAGAGCCTATTGATCACATTTTGTTTAGGAAGTTAAGATGTTTGGGGCGGGAAGCTTATGGCTGCTTATTTAGAAAAAAAACAAAAACAAAAACAAAAAACCAAAAAGCAATCATAGAGTCCTCAGTGGTGGCTCAGCGGGGTAAAGTACAGCACTAAGAAGCTAAAGCCATGTCAGAATAAGTTCAATCTCCACCTGTCCAGGAGGTGACCCACATGGTGCAGCAGACCTCTCCTGACCCGCCTGCTGCTCCCATCAGTCGGCCTGTTCTGCTCCCCACTGTCTCTGTTGAATCCCCTCACCACCCCTGCACCTCTGGCCTGTACCCCAGTTCTGTATGAATAAATAAATCTTAAAAAAATAATCACTAGTATATATCATTTCCTCAGAATGCTGGTGTAAGTAATAAATGTTATAGTAAAACTAACTATTGAAATAAAAAAAATCCCCAAATAATGTAAGAGTTCTTCACTATAAGTGGTAAAATATAAAACAAATAATAGAAAAGAAATATGGAAAAGAAAAATGGCACAGATGACTTACACTCATATTAAGAAGTAGGACTTAGATTACAAATTTACTTAATAAAAATTTCAGAGAGGCCTTCCCTGGTGGCGCAATGGGTTAAAACACTGCACTGAGAATCTAAAGCCGCCTCCGCATGAGTTCGATCCCCGCCTGCCCCGGAGGTGACCACATGGCGCAGCAGACCTCTCCTGACTCGCCCGCTGCTCCCCTCAGCAGTGTACTTCGTTGATCTGCCTGTTCTGCTCCCCACTCTGTCTCTGGTGAAGCCTCTCACCACCCCTGAGCCTCTGGCCTGTACCCCAGTTCTGTATGCACAAATAAATAAATCTTTAAAAAAATTAAAAAAAAATTCAGAGAAATTGAGGGCTTTCATTTTCATTTATTTCTACCTATCAGGTCACTGCCAGTATCTTTATTTATCCTGTTACTCTGGGCTCAAGCTCAGTTTCTAGATCCAAGTATGGTTTGTATCTATGATTTTAAATCAAAATCTTTGACATAAAAAGTCACAGTTTAAAAAGCCCAACTGAACAGTGTTTACATTAGTACTTACAATTTCACATTCCTTACAAGTGTGCCCAAGCAATTTTCTTCTTTCTTCTTTTTTCCGGACTACCTCAATATGAGGAAAGTTTGGTAAGCCTGTCTCTCTGAGTAGAAAATAAATTATATTTAAAATTAACCCATTTGTTACTCCAAAGATGTTTACTTTAGCCTTTAGATTAACAAAGATAAAAACCTAGAGGAGAAATAATTTGAAAAGATTCATTCATCTTATTTGAAATGCTTATTCAGTATGTCAGAAAAACAAATATTTCCTTATTCAGTCTTCATTAAATACTTAATACTATTTCACATACATTAAACATTTATTTCTATATCCCAGTTTTTCTAATTGATATTTTTCTCTAACTGAAAAAAAGCACTATATTATTTCTTACTTTTGCCTCTAACTGGTTTAAAAATAATAACTAGGTTAGGAGATAATATATTTTTAAAGTCAGGAAATTGATAATTCTATAACACAGCCAAGAAAGAGAGTATGCCTCTATTAATTCAGTTTTTCAGTTACTATGAACCCTATTTCAGGGCCAACCTACTAAAGAACAGATTGTTTTGTCATTTGCTATTTTCTCTTAATCTTTCTTTTGTTCCTTCCATCTACCCTAAATTTAAATAAGCAAACATGTATTTGTTTCTAAGTGGGTCAGATCCCACTCTGAACCACTGGAAAGCTAGCAACAGTCAAAGTCATTGGGCATAGATTCACAAGGTATGAGGACTTTAGGTAGAAAAACCAATCAGGAGGACAGATTTTCCCCTCCCCTCATTTATTAACATACATAAAATACTGCTTCAGCAAATCTAAAATAGAGAAATCTAAATTGTACGATAGGAAAATAAAGCACTGTGTGATAGCATGTCTGTTTATGAGTGAAACACTCCTGGTAACACAAAACAGCCTGACTCAACTGTGATTTTCAAAATGACTTGGTGGTTGCACATCTCCTCTGTTACTGTGATCACCCCATGTCCCTCTTTTGTTGGCAAGCACTTTCCTTCAAAAGCTCCAAGTGCTCTACTTCAAAGAACACGGGCTTACTTTTTGTGCCTTACCAGAAACTCAACTCTAGAATAATTTGTGAATTAAAAAAGGGATATCAAGAAAGGATACCTAAAAAACATCGTTTAAACAACTATTTTTTCAAATAATTTGTAAGTGTATGTAGACTACAATATTCGTCATATACTTTCCTCTGAATATACTTTTTGTTTTGGGGGTGCACTGTAATACTATAGGACTTATATTGGGAGATGGGCATCAATAGAAAATCTCAAAGCACCATCCCAAAGTCAGGTTTCTCATCCCAGACACAAAACAACCATTTTCCCAGGGGTCGCCAGTATTCTCAACATGAAAGGAACCACACAAACTCAGATTCTGACCATTGCTAGCCTTTATTTACCTCCTGTATCTCTAGTTATCTAAAAAATTGCTCTATTGTACTTCCAATCACATTGCTGGTATTAATCAAGCTCTACTTACCTTTCATCTTCTTTAAAATAAGGCTCCACAAATGCTTTCTGTTTGACTTTATCTTGTTTATCACTGTGAGCTGTATGTTATCAAAACAAACCACAAACTGAATCAGACCTAAGAAATAATGAGCTTCATGGGGAGGGAAAAGACATGTTTTAAAATCTCCCATTTTTACAAGAACTAGAGTTTATGGGCCCAAACCCCAAGTGATCTAGACTCAAATAGCCAACTGTGATTGTATAATGAAATAATCAAAATGTATTATGCTTTGTGCTAAGTTTTGGCTATACAACCAAATCTCTTGTACTATGGAGTACACTGCAGTGAGGAAAGTCAACATTCAGCAATTAGATAGTTAAGGCTTTTCTGAGGAAGAACATATAAGATTATAACTAGTGAATAAAAAGAAACTAAGTCAAGAGGTAGGAGTGGGCAGGGTTCTTAAAGATTCTGATATGGGTAAACTTGGGATGTTTTAAGAACTAAGAGGCCAGCATGGGTGAAATGCAGGGAAGGTCAGTGCTGGGGGAGACTAGGTGGGAGGTACCAGATCAGTGGAGCCCAAGGAAAGGAGTTTGAATTTTATAGTGAGGGCAGTAGGAAGCCACAGGAGACTTTTAAAAAGAATCCACTTTATTGAGGTATAGTTTACAGTGATTTCTAGGTGTCCTATGATGAATTTGGACGAATGTGTACTTCATCATAACTGCTACCCAAATCAAGATGGAAGACTGTTCCATCATCCCTAAAGTCTCCTCCTATTCCTCTGTTTCTCCTACACACGAGTGTATCGCAGTTTATATTTTATTCACTATTCTTTAAAATTATTACAAGTTGGACTGCTAAGAACATTCTTCAACACAGTTGTTATGCTTTCATTTTTCTTGGAAAAATGAGTGGAGTGGAAATGCTAAGTCACAGGATAGTAGTACAGTTAATTTTATTTTTATAAAATTAACAAAGAAGTTTCTAAAAACTAAAACTCTTTATGTTATTAAGAAATTTATGGTATTGAATCAAAATTAATTTTTTGATATATATTTTATGGCTATTCAAGATGGAGAAGCTGAACTGTTTTTGGTAACTTCTATAGCCTGAAATAATCTAAAAAAACTGAACATGTAAGAAATTTGAAACTTTAATTGTTAATATACCTTCTCAAACCTGTTAGTTAGCTTGTTTGCTTAATTTACTGACTCAGTTAACTAGGAAGCCATAATGAGAAAGAAAGTAACCTCACCATTTGATTTCTTTGTGGTGGTTGAAAATTCCTCCTCTTCATCTACTACTTGTGGGAAGCTCTCTGGCAAACAGGATTCATATTCTTCATGTGTCGTTCGATCAAACATATCTTCCAAGCTATCATTCATTTCTCTTTCTTCATCTATATGAAAGGACAATGGCTTATGGAAACTAGCAAGCTTTCCACTTTCTATAGTGAACATAAAATTTTTAGTAACTGCCACGTTAGGCATAAGTGCACCAAGCAAGAGAAAACTTCCAACCCTGGGAAGTTACTGTACAGAGATTTTGTTATGGCTTTAAACATCATTTTCTCATGTGAGGATAATGTTGCTAGCTCTTGTTATTGTCATTACAAACTTCAAAAATATTTTTCTCCCTTACCAGTGTTCATATAATTGACACATAAAGGAGTCCTAGCAAAGAAATGTGAGGAAAATACATAATAGTAAATAATAAAAAATACTAAGTTTAAATAAAATGTGCAAAAAAAGGTGCTGACTTTTCTAATGTGGAACCAAAAAAAAAAAAAAAA